ACTCTTTCGTAGATGAAATATCATCATCAATGATAGCCATAACTCTACCATGGTTAGGTTCTTAGAGGTCCTATTGATGATACGAAGCTTGTTTGTCTTACCATTCATAATTATTTCATCTCTTGCATCATCTTAGGGTTGTTGGTTGTCTACACTCGTTATTTGGTTGTCATAGTCTCTATTATTACACGAAAGGTCTCCCATATTAGGGTAGTCATAGTGTGGACCGACACTGCTAGAGGCACCGATGGTGCCACTTGTGTTACTCTAGGCAGTGACAAGGCTATGCCTATGTGACTTATCGAAGCTTCACGAGTCAGACTCGGATCCCTACCTCATCATCTGGCAGGTGAACATTCTTTTCCACATTTTTTAGGTGGCACAATATGTTATCTAATATATAAGTAGCTAAATCTATGATTCCTAACATTAAATCTTTGGTGATACATAACATCCATAGTGACCCTAATTCTCCTCATCAAATATAGATACTACTGCATGCATGACATGGCTAATAAGTGTGGAAAAGTCTATGAAAATATTTCATAAACGATGTCGTGGACTTAAACGTTCATAATAAATTCATTAAAAACAATATTGTTATGAGAATATAGTAGAAAATAGCTAACGTGAATTTAAATGAAATTAAAAAAAAAAAGTGATGTCATGATCTAACCTAAGGACTATTAAAACAAACAGGAATCCAACTACCCTAGCTTCGATCTCATGGTCTTCACCAGATGCCATCATCTATACAAGAGTGTCTTACCTTTACCTAAAAAAGAAGAGTAACATGTGACTTAGTATTTTAAGAAATAATCCAAAAGTAACCCCACTGTGGAAGTAAAAAAAATTCAATCAAATGCAGGTGAGACCTATCATTTCATAAAACCATCATGACATGATTTTAAACTCAGTCCGGGCAGGGTTGAATGTGTAGTACTTTCATACACACGGTGTTAGGTTATAGAGTCTGCTCTCATACACACGGTGTTAGGTTATAGAGCTTGGTCAACTGTTATATTCGGGTAAAGCTATATATGGTAAAGCTATATATGGTAAAGCTATATATGGTAAAGCTATATATAGTAAAGCTATATATAGTAAAACTATATCAAGTAAAGCTATATTTGGTAAAGCTATATATGATAAAGCTATATATAGTAAAGCTATATCCTATATATGGTAAATAGCTATATATAGTAAATGGTTAAATCTGATAAAGCTATATATAGTAAACTTAACCATATATATATCTGGTCCGGTAGAGCTTTGAAAATGTACTCTCTGTATTCTCTGTAATTCTCTCTTATTGTACATACGTGAAGTCATCAATAAAAAAAAAATCCTTTTAGCCCGAGTTCTCCTTGCACTTTTCTCTATCCTATTTTTTGTGTTCATCTAGATTGAGCGTGTGCGTTGTTGTGCGACCCTAACAACTGGTATCAGAGCTAGGCAAAATTCACCACGATCTGTGAAGATGAAAAGTTCAAAGATTGGAATTGAGAAGTTTGATAGATCCGATTTCGGTTTCTGGAAGATGCAGATTGAAGATTATCTGTACCAGAAAGATCTTCATGAACCTCTATTAGGGGTGAAGCCGGATACCATGACCACGGAGCAGTGGAAGCTCAAGGATCGACAAGCCTTGGGGCTGATCCGGTTGACGCTATCCAAAAATGTGGCGTTTAACATTATCAAAGAGAAGACAACGTCAGATCTTTTGAATGCGCTGTCAAATATGTATGAAAAACCGTCGGCTATGAACAAGGTGTATTTAATGCGGTGATTGTTCAATCTACAAATGTTTGAAGGTGGATCTGTTGCTGATCATATAAATGAATTCAATATGATCATAAGTCAACTAAGTTCGGTGAAAATTAATTTTGAAGATGAAATTAAAGCGTTAATTTTGATGTCATTCTTACTCGAGTCATGGGATACTGTTGTTGCCACAATTAGCAGTTCTTGAGGATCTGATAAACTGAAGTTTGATGAAATTCATGGTGTAGTTCTCAGCGAAAGTATTCGCAAACGAATAATTGGAGATTCATCAGGCAATGCTCTCAGTGTTGATCGAAGGGGAAGAAGTAAATCAAAGAGCTCAAACAAACATGGGCGATCAAAATCAAAGAACCGGGGAAAATCTTCAAACAAACCCAACGTAACGTGTTGGAGCTGTAGGGGAAAAGAACACTTTCAGACAGATTGTACAAAACTGAAGAAGAAGCAGAATCATAAATCTGAAGATGATGATGATTCTACATATACAACAGAAGACACTGAGGACGTTTTAATCCTTAATGTGGACAGCCCAACTAAATCCTGGATTTTGGATTCAGGTGCATCGTTCCATTCGTCTCCAAGTAAGAAATTGTTTCGAAATTTCAAATCAGGAAATTTCGGGAAGGTGTATCTTGCCGACAACAAAACCTTGGAGATTGAAGGGAAGGGAGATGTCTCCATATCAAGAAATTTCGGAAAGGTGCATCTTGCCGACAACAAAACCTTGGAGATTGAAGGGAAGAGAGATGTCTCCATACAAACTCCAGCAGGAAATCAGTGGACATTACAAGATGTCAGATACATTTCTAGTCTCAAGAAGAACCTGATCTCTATTGGTCAGTTGAATAGCACAGGCTATACAGTAGAGTTTGGAAAGAGTTCATGGAAGATTGTGAAGGGTGCCATGGTTGTTACACGTGGCACAAAATTCGGAACCTTATACACTACAACAGAGTGTATAAACATGACTACTGTTGCTGAGAGTGCTTCCAATTCAAGTTTATGGCATAATAGACTTGGACATATGAGCGTCAAAGGAATGAAGATGCTGACTGCGGATATGGGTCTTTGTGAGAGCTGTGTTATGGGCAAACAGAAACGAGTTAGTTACACAAAGGCAGCCAGAGAACCAAAGAAAGTGCGGTTGGAAATGGTCCATACAGACGTCTGGAGACTATCTCCAGTTTCATCACTTGGTGAATCAAGGTACTACGTCACCTTCATCGATGACTTCAACAGGAAGGTATGGGTTTACTTTCGGAAACACAAGTCAGATGTGTTTACCACCTTCAAGAAGTGGAAAGCTGAAGTTGAAAATCAGACCGGCTTGAAGATCAAATGCCTAAGATCTGACAATGGAGGAGAGTACAACAAATCAGAGTTTATAACATTTTGTGCAGCTGAGAAAATTAGATTAATAAGAAAAATTCCCGGTAAGGCAAGACAAAATGGTATTGCAGAAAGGATGAATAAAACATTGAATGAGCGAGCAAGAAGCATGAGGATTCACTCTGGACTACCGAAGACATTCTGGGCTTATGTTGTGAACACAGCAGCATATTTGATTAATAGAGGGCCGTCAGTACCCTTGAAGTTCAAATTACCCGAACAAGTATGGACAGGAAAAGAACTCAAGTATTCTCACTTGAGAACTTTTGGTTGTACTGCGTATGTTCATGTTGATCTAGAGAAGAGAGATAAGCTTGATGCTAAGGCTGTGAAATGCTACTTGGGCTATGGCTCTGACATGTTCGGGTACAGGTTTTGGGATGAGAAAAATATGAAAATCCTAAGACACTGCGATGTGACCTTTGATGAAAATTTCATGTACAAAAACGGAGAGAAGATAAACTCTAAGACTACAAAGCAAGTGGGAGTTGAACTTGAGTGACAGGAAAATTCACGCAGTGATGTTACAACCGAAGCTCAAGAAACTCCTGATCCTATTGCTGAAGAACCAGACATGGAGCAAGTTGCACCTGAGCAAGTGTTGAGAAGATCATCCAGAACTATCAGAGCACCAGATAGATATTAAGCCTCATTAGATTATCTGTTGCTGACTGACGAAGGAGAACCAGAGTCCTTTGATGAGGCCCTACAAGTGGAAGATTCAATCAAGTGGGAGCAAGCCATGGATGATGAGATGAGCTCACTTGAAAAGAATAATAAGTCATCAATAAAAAAAAAAATCCTATTGTGCGACCCTAACACATGGCCCATGCAAGTGCACATAGAATCACCAGACATACTCATGTATATATTCCTTAGGCCTCATTCATCGGGTTAGTGCACACTCACGCTACAAGAAACCACATAGAGAAAGGATCCACGTAATATCAGGACAAACATAGATATCATAATGTACGCATTCGTATTAATCACAATGGGAAAGTATCCTGATGCAAATGACACACATAAATGCATGAGGTCCCCATAGCTTAAAACCATGACATAAGTTTATGATTCAAGTCTTAACTCCATTCATTCATGATATAACAAGTCTGTGAAACATGCATACATAATAATTGTCATATCTTCCCTAATTAACATAATTTACATAATTTGGTGTATGGAGTTTTATGCCTCATATCATCAATATAATTCTACAAAGCATGCATGTAATAACAATCTTAGTCTTAGTCATGTTTTAGAAGTTGTATTGCTATTTCATACTAACATCAATATATACCAAAACTCATTGTTAACATATATTTATCCGCTTTGACTCATTATATATGGCTGTCAATTTTACAATTTACTACGGAGGGGTTTCCAAACCCTTATAAAACAAATGTTTCGTTTTTCCTTCTAACTAATGTGGGATCTCATAATTATATTTAAAAAAAAAATCATATTATATTTTTAAAAATTATTTGTGCTAAAAATAATTTCTAGATTATCATCTATTACTGATTTGTCTTTAAGGGCTTCTATCAAATATTATTTTCCAACCATAACCCCAATAATTTCTTTTAAAAAGTATTTGATATCTTATAATCAAACATCACTTGGTCTATTTGATAGGTCATTTGACATTTTTATAATATTTCAGAAATAGACAAACAAATTTAAAACCCATTTCTCTCAAATCAATTCCTCAAAACTTAACCAAGTAAATGAAAAAGTTGGTGTTTCGTATCCACCAATTTATAAGGAATTTTTGTGTTAAAATCAACAAATTCCCAAACCCCATCTATAAAGATCCTAACCCTTCTTATAATTCTTCACAAGCCATCACACAAACCTACAAACCCTTCAATATCTCTCCACCAATGGCTTCCAAGCTCTCTTCACCCATTGCCCTCCTCCTCCTCATCCTCCTCTTCTTTACTATGGTCAGCTCCACCTATGTTCCTTGCCCACTGCCGCCACCCAAGCCCCACAAGCCCACCCCGTCAAGGCAGCCACCATTACTCCCCAAGTGCCCCATGGACACCCTCAAGCTCGGCGTCTGCGCCAACTTGCTGGACGGTCTAGTGCACGTAGTGATCGGCTCACCACCAAAATCCCCATGTTGCATCCTAATCCAAGGCCTTGTTGACCTAGAAGCTGCTGTGTGCCTTTGCACTGCAGTGAAGTCCAGAGCCTTGGGTCTCCAGATTGACCTCTCCGTTTCCCTCGGCTTGCTTTTGAACTATTGTGGAAACCAAATCCTTTCATTTCCCTTTCTGGTTTCTTCTTCAATTTTCCATTTGAATGTCGTATTTAAATAATCAATTTGGTCGTACATCGTGTTATGATGGGTTTGGAAATTTTCTCAGAATTCCACCATCTTTTTATAGTTTCATTACAATGCAATGTAACATAATGGTACGTAGTTTTTGCAAATAAACAACGTTGTTCGTCTGTTCTCTTTTGTCTTATTACAAATTTGACGATGCATATGTTTGAAACCTCAAATCTTGTTTCACCTATGTTACTTGCCTGAAATCATAATAAACCTTTAACTTCAAAAAAAGTAATATTAATAACACTCAAGTTTTAAATGACAACGTTGACAAAAAATGTAAGACCTCAATTTAATGAAAATATGGATGTCAGTATAACAGCTCAAGTACGCTGCTAGTAGATATTATCCGTTTTGACTCGTTGTGTATTGCCGTCATCCTTACGCTTTTAAAACATGTTTGTTAAGGAGAGGTTTTCACATTCCTATAAAGAATGCTTCGTTCTCCTCTCCAACTGACGTGAGATCTCACAATCCACCCCCTTGGGGGCCAGCATCTTTGTTGGCACACCGCTCGGTGTTTGGCTATGATACCATTTGTAATAGCCTATGCTCACCGCTAGCAGGGATTATCTACTTTGGCCCGTTACATATCGCCGTTAGTCTCACTGTTTTAAAATGGATTTGTGAGAGATGTTTCCACATTATTTTAAGAAATGTTTCGCTCTCTTTTTCAACCAACGTGAGATCTCATAGTCCATGGGAACTTTTGAAAATTTATAAGAATATTTAAACCGTCGGGTAAGAATTTACTATTTTAAACGAGGAAGAGGATTATTATTATTATTATGTGTTGATATGTTTATTTAATATAAGGTCAATTTTATACAATATGATTAAAAAGTGGATTTGGTTGACAATATTAGATATCGACATATTAATGAAAAAAGAATACAATGGTCCGTGTCAATACTCTCAGTCAGGGACAATGAAAAGCAAATGGTAGAGATAATTTCTACATTTTTTCTTTTTCTTTTCTTTATTTATTTATTTAATTATTTATAGATCCAACTTTAATTTTAATTTTGAAAAAGATGATGAATAATTAGTGGTTCACTAAGCTGGGCAATTAATTTTTTTTTCCTAATAAGTATTCATTACAACCTTTTCATAATTTTTGAATTGTTAACCATTAAAATTTATATTAATTACATCGTCATATGTGTTTTATCTCGAGTTAATAATATGTATTTTGATATATTTAAGATCGTAAAATAAGTTTTTTTATTAATTTAATTTATTATTATTTTTGTTTTATATATTTTTGTTCAAAATCATCTATTGACATTGACATTTCCATGAAATCGAGACTTCGATATTTTTTTTTTTTGTCAACATTAACATTTTAAACTTTAATGTTAAGTAACTAATTTTGATATCTAACTTAAGGGCTATAACTTGAATAGAAAATGCAACTATCTTAACTTGGTTCTCATAGCCTATATAGTGACACTACATGGTTGTCTTACCATCACCTGGAAAAAATAGCACTTTGTTTGATAATTTAAAAAATACTTAGTAAATAATCACACTGTTGCGGTCGGAAAATGCAGTCTTGATAGAGTTGAATGTGTAATATTTCTCTACACATGCACACATAGATCCACCTAGCAGGCTCGTAACGTATCCTCTAAGTCTACTTGTTGGGCTAGCTTACACTCACGTTGGCCGAAGCTATGGAGGGAAAGGAGCGTACATAATATCACGATGTACATGATATCGTAGTTTATGTAGTGTAATATATGGAAGTTCCTGCATCATACCACGTTAATATCACAACATAGTTCCATAACATGACATAATCTTATTATAGTATATCTTGTATCATTGCATAAACATAACATAACATAAAACACATCAAACAATCATGAAAAATTCGTCATTCTTTCATCATACAAGTCATTCTTTCATCATACAAGTCATTCAACCAAGCCAACATTAAAGCCATTTCGTAGGCGAAGTTATTAATGTATGAAAAATTAGAGTATCTTTTTTTAAGACCTACCTTGATCTACACAAATGTGAGGATTGTTGAACTATTCTTAGATATATTTATATTTTAAGTATCTCCTTCCTCGGGTAGAGTTGAAGCCTCAAGAAAAACAGCCCAATAAATAGTTTATACTCGCAATTGTGCTCCATACATTAAACCTATGATAATTAGCCAAACTATCAAGTTTGAATAGTTCATAACACTATGGGGTTCCGTAGTGTTCCGCTGACTTCCAGACGCGTTACAGATTAGCTTGATTAGAGGGTCCAGGCGAGCGCCCCATGGATTAAAAAAAAAAACAACAACATTTCCCCACTTCTTTCGGCTAGCTTCTCATCCCTTTCCACAATTATTTCTCCTCAACCCATCCTTAAGCCAGAAAGCAACCGTTATAATAATAGTCAGATTTACTTGAGAAAAAAAAAGGAGAGAATAGCCTTTGCCCAATTGTGATTCACCCTAAGATTTACATGAAGATAGATCTATAAGGTATATATTAAATCTTCATTTTCTTTTATCCTATTGTTTTTATAGAAATCACAACCAATTATAGTTAGATCTTAGAATTGGTACAATGGTTTAGCTTTGAGTTAGAAATTAAATATCAATCATTTATATGAATTCTAGCAAATCATGTCCGACTATAATATTAGATTAAATTTATATCAGTTGCCAAATGAATAGATTAAAATAGAATGGCCAAGAAAATCTGTGAACAATAAACACTAAGATAAAGGAAAGATTTGGAAACAGAGATCAACTAGAAATTAATTTGGAATACATGTGAACAGAATTAAAAGGCAATAGATAAAAAAGAGAAGATCAACAAATTAAAAACCACACACTAAATGTTGTTGGGTTTTATGTCCTAAAACTATAGTTTGTAAACAAAAACATTTGTGCTTTTCTTTAGCCAATGGCTAAGTTTATTTGCAATTATATATAGTTTAGGTTGCATGTAGAATCATTCAAGCTCGACATGATCAATCTTACTAGTGGAGTGATTCGAATCTCAAACAAGTGTTTGAGATATTTGATCAACAAGAATCATTCAAGCTAGGCATGATCGATCTTGCTTGTGGAGTGATTCGAATCTCAAACAATGTTCTTGTCTTGAGATATTCGATCAACAAGGTAATCTGAATCTTACTCCCCTTGTAGTGGTTCCTTATCTTATCAATAAATAAACTACACAGTCTTATGACCATAGAGATGGGAATGACTTTACCAATGTATACTGAAGAGTAAGTAGTTTCAAATGAAATAAAATGACCTAAGAAGCTTGATAGATGTCAATATCTTATAGTATGTTCTAGATATTAAAAGTGGTAGTGTCAGAAAGAAAATTTTATACCTTTGAAGTATGTAAAGATGAAATTAAAGTATTAGTAAGGGAAAAAAAAAATTGAATTAAGACCATAAAAGTTTGAAACGTGTATACTTAAATTGATTGATGAATGACATAAGTGCGTTTAATGGAAACTGAGCTTTGGAAGTACTGAGATGTAGAAAACTTTCCTGCCTTAATACGAGTTGAAAAATAATAATAATACAACTGCAATTATAGAAGTTGTGAGATGATTTAAAAGTATGAGGTCGCAGTTTGGATGAGGCATTACGATCATGGTCAAAATTTTAGAGGTATATGGAGAGGGACTACGGTATGAGATTGTCAAGATACATTAAATTTAAGAAACCATGATTTAAGATGAACTTGGGTGGGGGATACACGAGGATTAAAGTGGGACATTCTCTCTAAATCAACTAGAAGTTTTGTGGTAATCCTCCTAAGGGTACACGAATGCACTCAAGTACCTCAACATAAACAAATTGTTGTAGAAAATTACCGAATAATTTTTCCTAGCAATGTCAACTTGGTTAAAAGGTATTACCATAGTTAAAGTTTCAAGACTAACATTTTAAGTTTGATTTTCAAGTATCCCAAGTTTTATGGCGTCTGAGGATATCCACCATACTTATATAATACCATTTTTTATAAGAGAATTTTGTTAAGCCCATTCTTGATATTACAAGGCATTGGAAGGGTTGTGATGCCTTTCGGTTATGGTTATAGGAACATTAATTTTGGGCTATACTAGATAATGTATACCAAGAGAAAAGTCTATTTGACAATGTTTCCATTGTAATTACCAAATTCTCAAAACTCTAGCTTGACAACAAATCAAATACGGTTAGTAGTTTATAGATCCATAAGATTTCTAATGCATTCAATTTGCATTAGGTTATGGTGGAGTTTTTTAACCTATTTCATGTCATGATCTTGACTCAAAAAATTTACTAGAATCGGGTAGGTAGCAGAAAGAGAAGAAATATTACAAATTTCTTGTTTTTGTGGGAAAATAGGCAAATTTGTATATGGAATTCATCTACAAAGATGAGACCTTAATGAGGAACCAAATCAAGTGGACACTTACAAACAATACAAATACCAACAATAATGAGTAAAGGAAAACAATTCTTTTTTTTCTTTTTTTAAATTTTAAAAATATAGAGAACTAACTATTTTAATTGGAAACATTCCTCTAATGAATTCCCTGGGAACTTCTATAGTAAATGGACTATATAGAATTGTGATCAGTCAAATATTGCAAAACCCCAATATCTATTACCAGTCAGAATTGGACTATAACAAAATTTCGATCTATACCGGCACCATAATATCGGATTGGGAGGAGGACTAGAATTAGAGATTGATCGAGAAATAAAGATATGAGTGTGTGTGAGTCGGAATCAAAAAATATCTATTCTAGTTCTATCATCAGCTATGGGTTCGAATCTTAAGAGAAATTCAAGAGAAGGTTTCTACCTGAATTTTTTCTTTATCTTTCCTTAATGATAAGGAGAGAAAAAAAAAAAAAAATTGGATCAAAAGAAAGTTCCATTTTGGATTAAAGCCAACCCTATTGTATACATGAACATTGAAGCACTTGAGCCACAAACCTACTAGATGAATTATGTTGCTCATGAAATTT